TCCTTCTTTTAGTATTAACGAAACTTTCTGGAGTATGGATCTCTTTGCAGGCATTTAAAAAGAAACAGAATATGCAAATTCTTTCTTATTTTTTAAAAATTTAAATAGCAGTATTTGCTTTTAAGCCAAATTTTGATGCTTTTAGCCTGTTCCTAACACCTCTGTGCCTGCAACATTGCTTTGCCATGTGGAAAGGAAAGCACTGCATTTCAGTTAAGCTACACTGGTTTGCAAGGTGTGCTGTGTTTTGGGATAGCCCTGTTACTGTGCTCTTGTCCTGCTGGTGTTGAGCTGTCATAGGTAACACTTTTTAGGGGGAAGTTGTGGGATAGGAGAGTGGGACAGGATGGGATAAGATTCAGGAGGTTTCTCTCTTGGGGGGGCTGGGAGTTCTTTATACACAGCTGAAGAATGCTTCCATTGAGTATTCCATTGAATATTTTGTGTCATATCAATTTTAAAATAAAAACCAAGTGTGTAAATAGGTTGTGCTTAAATCTTGTTGGTTTTTTTAAATGACTTGTGTCTAATTTATATTTGTGATTTCATTAATTTTGATTATTATTTTTCATCAGATACATCGAACTAAGAACAAATGGAAGTTCTACTTAAAAGATGGAGTGATGTCCATTGAGGGTAAAGACCATGTTTTTGCAAAAGCCACTGGAGATGCAGAGTGGTGAGACTTCACTCCCGTATGTCCTTGAAGGCTGTGGCATGATTTCCTTATAAGCCTTTTGTGAAACAATTGGGCTTTCTATTGTTGTGCCATAAAAACAAAAAAAAACCCAAAAAACAAAAACAGCAAACAACCAAAACTTAAAAAAAGTCCAAACTCCAGAACAACAAATCTGTGATGAAAAAATATGCAAAATCTCTGTTGTTAATTTGTGGTGTTAATCTGTTTAGTTTGCAAACTAAACCACTGTACTGTTAGCTATTCGGCTGTCTTTGCTGTTCTTTTCTGATTATTTCATTTTTTTCCAATGAAGAAGCATCATTGGAATGAATAGCTTTAAAGTTTGAAGTGTTATATCTGTTTATAATTCAAGAAGGTAAAGACATACTTAGTAATTAGTAAAGAACTACTTATTGGTTATAATCAAATAAGTTTTAGTTCTGTTATTTTTCCCCAGCTCTTAAAAGCTGAGGTGTGAGTTGAAATATAAAGTTACACTGTTATGTTATTCTTTTCAAAGACTTTTGAGTTGAAAAAAAAAAAAGCAATATCTTTCCAAGTCTGAACATGTGGCTGTTTCAGCTGCTCACTTCTCTTGATTTTTTAGTTGCTTTGTGTGTTTTGGACTTTAGTTTAAGGACATGCACTCTAGATGCAATAAGGGAAATGTCTGAGAAAGATCCTGGAACTCTTAATATATGAGAATTATTATTGTTTACTCTGTACTAGCTATGTCTACTGAGATGCAGTGAGTAGTGTGATGTAACATTAAAATGTGATTTATTTTCACTGTCAGTGCAAAGTCATTTAAGTTTGCTACTGTACATCTCCACTTTGTTCTAGGACTACAGACCAATAAGCTGTGAATGATACAAATGTGCATAATAATAAAAGTGTCATCTCATGTACATTTCTGGCATAGAGTTGTTTTTGTTCCCTCAATATCAACTCTGCTTAGAGAAATGGGTACAAGCCTTGCACGTGGCAGTAGCTCACCCTACCATGAGAACTGCATTCCTCCCAACATGAACTTTTTGTTAGTTCTAGAAAGAAAAGTCCAAAAAGAAGCTTTGGGCCCTTGTCTTTCAGAGCTGCAGCTCTTCCCTGGCTGGCTCCTGTTCCTTGTAGGGCAAGATGGGCAATTCCATGGTAAAGCTGCAGCCAGGCTGCTTCAGAACAGGATCATCCTGCTGGACTAGCAGTGCTGCACTAAGGAACACCTCCCCCTTGGCTGCTGCTCCCATGTCTGCTGGAATGAGGCATTGTGAGGCATTTTGCTTATCTCTAATCCCTGAGAGGATGCAGAGGCTGGGAGAAGGGAAAGAAAAATCTGAGTGGGAGAGAATGAGTTTATGGAAGAAATGAAGGGAAAAACCCCAGCCCTTTTTCATAATGGTGCAAAACCTTGTGCTAATGCCATAAGGCAGGAAGTAGTTCTTTAAAAATTGAGTCTATTACATGCTTTTTTTGGATGCATCTGCTACTTTCCAGTGTCAAAGACAGGACCCTGAACTAGAGCACTTGAACCAAGTGTGACATTCCTTTTGTCTTTTATAGATGCTGCTGCTGGAATGTGAAGAATTGTGTGTTCAGAGGCAGTTAAAATATTCCAGTGTATGATTTCTTTTTCCCCATTCAGATGACTTGTAGCTGCACTGAAGCTATGCTTCAGACCCATAAATGCACAAAAAATGCAGCTCTTTCCACATGATAGATGCTTTTAGGTTTCAGCACTCTCTCACAGGCTCTGAGGTGCTCATGCTCTGTCAATGTGCATGTTATGAACTGTGGGACCATTTCCAATGTCAGACAAGACTGGGAGGAGAGGTAGTGTGGCACAGGAATCCATGGGACAGGACTGGATATGCACCATTCACTTAGCACCACAAAGGCTCTCAATGGTGCTTCTGAATTTGGCCTGTTTTTCCTGGTTATTATAAAATGAAGTTGCTAAAGAGCACTTAGGTTTTTAGCTAGTTTTAAAGATAACATTAGTAAAGAATTACAGCTTTGAACAAGACATTTACAACTAAATACACCTGGAGTCAGGAATTTTTATACTGAAAAAAATGTTTCTTATTAAAATGTAAGCTCTAGCCTGTGACTTGAACAGTAATCAGTGCTTTTGATCTGAATAGTTTACGAATTAATGTTTTTGATTGCTGCTACTTACAGTTTAGGAAACGTATTGCTGCAGATGTGACAGGATGAGGTGTGTAATACCAGTTATGGCCTTCAAAGATGCTTCAGTAAATGGCTGTCTAAACCTTTACACCACAAAGAAGGTAAAGTAAAAATAATGAGATAGAATAACAAGAGTAACTTGTGTGAGAAGCTCTGTCATGAATCAAAATCTCTTATTAAAGATTTACTTATTTGCTTACTTTTGTGCATTGACAGATTTTAAGTATATAAATTATATTTGATGTTTTGTCAGCTTTTTTTAAACAGCAATTTTGTAAATGGTGGATTTCACTCCTTGCAGCAGGTACAAAAAGAAAAATGTCCACAGAGACTCTCTTACTACTTGGCTGTTGCCTCTGTAGCTCTGTAGGGCAGGTGCTATCAGTTGTTGTTAATTCTTAACTCATCTCCCTTGCCTGTGGTTTACTGACCATGTTATGTAGTGGGGAGGGTGTGCTGGCAAGCTCTTGTCCTGTTGAAACATAATGCAAGTAAATCAGTTGCCCACTTAAGATATTGCTGTCATGTCCTAAATCATGTGCAGGACTCTTCCATGGGATGTCAGAAGAAATGAGTCTCAAAAATCAGTTTTGAGATAGGTGACAGAGAAGTTTTAGGCCCAGTAGCTATTTTTTTACACCAGTACCTTTGGCTGTATTATAGTTAGATATCCTATCACAGTCCTATCTGATTATTATTAGCTAAGCTCAGGGGCTGGTGTGTGTAAAGAGGTGCATCAAATGAAATCTGTATTGATTGCTAAAGCACAGAGTTTTAAGAGTCTCCTCTGTTCTCAATCCTGCTTCATTCCCCACCTGTGGAACTGCTCTTGAGCACAGCTGTGCTTACATCAGGAGCTTTTACACTGATTGAAATCATGGCATTATGCTGAAGGTAAGAGTGGGTCAGAGATGTTATTTCTAATTACCACAATTACGACCTAATGATAGACCAGTCACTGGTACAAAGAATTGCTTTCATTAATGTGAAGCAAATTTAGCTGGTGGTGCAGTGTTTTGACAACAAGAGGAGTGCTTTGAAACTCAGTTGCTGTCACAGACTTGAAAGCAAAGGACTTAGCTGAAAAGGAGAATGTAAAAGGTTTAAAGTGATTGTAATAGTACTGTTCTCTTATGTATCAGACTCTGCAATTACTTAAATTAGCAGTGCAGTCACAAATCTGGACCAGGCATTTAACATGATCACTTAGCATCAGGCAGTGCATAGTGAAAGAAAAGAGAGATTTTAATAGGAAAACATTGTCACAAAAAGGTAACTACTCCGCTACTCTGCTTCATCACCTGGGAATAGAGTTGGATTGTGTGTGCTCAAGAGGCCCTGGTGCATACCTGAATGCCACTGGCACTGGTGATGTCAGAGAGTGGACAGGTGGAAATCATTCCCAAAAGGAGGGAAAAGAAGGCAGCACTTCCTTGCCTGTGCAGGAAGCAGCTCTCCTGCTGCCGAGAGGGAGCCTTTACCTGATTTGTGTGTGTACACCTGTGATAGCCTAAATTGAGTCCTGTGTGCAGCAGAGGGGGTTTTGCATCTCTTATGATTTCCAAATCACACATGGCTGTGCATGGGTTAATAATTTAAGTAAACTACCCACCAGCTCAGACTGATATCTAATGTAAACTGCAAAAATTGCCAGTGAGAAAGGTTCAAGAGACAAACTTTCCTCCTTGGTGACATCTTTACAGCCTATAGCTTGAATGCTCTTCTTTAACTGTGTGTAGGTGGCTGTGTAATTGGAAGTTTCTGTTGATGAAATGGAGGAATCTAGTTTAGTGTCTCTTTCTTTAAACCAACAATGCCAGCACAGCTGATAAGAATGAAAAAAGAAGCCATGAAAGGTAGCAAACAGGCTTTAAATACGGGAAGCAGATCTGGAAGAAAAAAAAGGCAGGCTGCAATCACTGCAGTAACTGTTAGCTTCAAGAGCAACTTGACTGCTCATGGACTCTTCCAGTTCCCCATACAGAAAAGTTTTGCCTTATAGCCACCTTCCACACCTATCATCAAAGGAAGAGAAGGGAAAACACCACTTTGAATGTCAGAACAGTTATGTTGCATAAGAATTATTGACTGGCATTTTTATTTATTATGAAATGTTCAAGACACTGTAAAAGAATCTCTAGTCACTAAGATAATCACAACTGGCCTTGCAAAGGGTAACTTGGCACTCTCTGGGTAAATTTTCCTTGTGAGATGTCTTGTCCCGTGGTGCAGGATGGGGCTTCTCTAAGGCTGACAAGAGCAGGAATGCTTGGGAGGCTTTGGTGGGGGCTGTGGCTGCGCCACCATTCTTGCAGTTGGAGTTATAAGCAGAGAAATAGTTCCTCCTGTAGAGCTCTGCTCGGCTCTTGCAGCAACCAAGCTTGCTCATCAGCAGGAAGAAATCCCTCCGAAATGCTTTGGTGAAAATCGCATAGAGAAAGGGGTTTGCACAGGAGTTGACGGGGTAAAATAAAACCAGCAGGATCTTGGAGTTGGTCACTGTGATGAGAGGAACTTTGAAGGCAGCGGATATGGCAAAAAAGGAGATGGGGGCCATGCAGGTGAAATCCGTGAAGATCAGTATTGCCATTCTCTTGGCAATCTTGGTGTCTTTATTGGCAGCTACCAGCTCCGGGTTCTGCACAGCGATGTAAATCTTGATGTAGCAAGCACAAATGACAACGAAGGCGACAACATTCAGCACCAAGATCAGCAGGATGTATGCTTGGGACAGGCCCGTTTCGATATCCATGGGCAAACAGATGCTGACCTTCATGTAGCTGCTGACCCCGAAGAGAGGCAGCACGGCTATCCCGATGGAGAAGAGCCAGCCCCCGAGCATGATGGGCACGGCGTGCCGCAGCCGCAGCTTGCGGTCCAGCTGCATGGCGTAGGTGATGGTGTGCCAGCGCTCCAGGGTGATCACCGTCAGCGTGTACACCGACAGCTCGCTGGCAAACACCGTGAAGAAGCCGGCCGTGCTGCAGCCGCTGCCCGTCTGCCAGTCGATGGCGTGGTTGTAGTACTGCCCGCTGGTCTGGGCGTCCACGGAGGCGATGAGCAGCAGGTACAGCCCCATGCAGAAGTCGGCGAAGGAGAGGTTGCACATGAGGAAGCGAGGGACGGTGAGCTTGTAGTGGCTGGTCAGGAGAACGAGGAGCACGGTGAAATTGCCGGCGATGGCGAGGATGTTTATGAACCAGATCAGCACTCTGAGGAAGCTGTATCCCAGGATGTCTTCGCAGGGATTAAAGGCATCTGGTTCCGGAGTGCACGTGAGGACTTTTGGCTGGCAGAAGTCATACTCAAAGTCAAAGCCAGCCATTTCGCTGTCATCAAAAATGGTTGAGTAGCTGTAGGGAGAACTTTCATAATCTGTTGCAAAGGGGTGCGTCTTCCTCTCCGCTGACCACAGCAACGTGTTGTTGGAGTCGTCGCTGTAACCATGAAAAAACCACCCCCCCAAACAGAAGTGAATTATTTGTTACATGCCACTCGCATTCTTTTTCTAAAGACATCAGATAACAGTTGTTAAACAGTGACTTCCTCCATGTGTTTCTACAGGGTGTTTACAGATAATGAAGCCTTGTAAGGATGCTTTGTGTTTGGAAAGCAGCCTTGGAGAGCAGCAGGGGTCACAGTCCCATCCACAGAAATGCTCTCTTACACAACTTGCTTATTTGTAAGTACTTCACTTTTACTGCTTTGTGAAGGAGCCATGGTTCTCATGCTGCTGGTTGGCTGCAGTCCAAGCTACAGTAACACTTGGGCTGATAGATTACAGGTTTGATGCACAGAGGTTTTGCAGGTAGTTGTAGAAGCCATACTAAAGTAACCTATGGATTTTAACTGTGCACCTTTGGTCCCCTTAGGAAAGGCACTTAGCAAACAAATTCCTGAGACTGTGTATGGCTTGGGAGGGGCTGGGGAATTTGCTGTTCGCAGTATTATAGGGCAAGGAGTAGTAAATCATACTGATAGCTAGGAGTTTATTAATTTTAGGCTGCATCCACTGCCTAATTAAAAATGTTGTAGGTTTTTAAGATGGATTTCTAAAACCTCTAGGTCATTAAGAGTGTGGTGATAAGCCTGCCAAAGAAGAAATGTGTTAAAAGCAAACACTGTCTTTTCTGGCACTTCCCTGCCATAACAGGTGCCCATTTCCCAACTGCCCAATCATCCTGACTGTGAGTGTTTGGTGGGAAAACGCTCAGTCTGCAGTGTGAGACCTGGAAAATATCTCTATTGAGGACAACTCTTGAAAAAACTGGTAGCTTTTAAATTTAAATACACGCTTAAGCTTCCACATCTACTGAAGCACGTCCATTTAATGATATTTCTGGAGCAGGGTCTTAACTGGCAAATGAAACTGAGCTGCTTTTCAGCCATTCCTGTGGGGCAAATAATGTCCCAGACTTATTATCCTTACTTCTCTCTGTACATGGAAAATTGCCCAATGTCTTGCATTTACTTGCCTGGCTCAAACTGGAAGAGCAGGGAATACATTTGATTCTATTTACTTACAAAAATGATTGTGATTTTCTGAGAGGCTGTCTCAATGTGCTGCTATATGCAAGCTGGATTTTTGTGGATTTTTTTTTCTTTACTAATAAGAATTCAGGACTTTCATATGGTTTCTGCTGTAGGTCTGCAGCCATTAAGCCCATTAACCATAACCTTACTTTCACTTGGTTATTATAATGCCTGCTCAGAGAATTGCTGGGATTGGGATTTGCCAAAGCAAAAAGCTTCAGGGGCCAATAGGCTGGGCAGACTATTTAATGCACAGCAGGAGCACAAAGATGCTAATCCAAAACAAGCAGACAGATAAAACCAAATGGCAAGTGCAGGAGGCCTCACCAACCAGCAAACAAGATAATGTCCAAGGAAGTAATTATCCCAATGAATCAATCACATTTCAGCTGTATTTAACCATTGGAATTTTGTGACCATAACCTTGTTTCTTCTAGACTTTAGAATGCTTTGACGCCACATCAGGGCTGCTAAGAAGTCCCAAGGTCTCCCATGTAGCTGCAGAGGGATGAAGAATAGCAAATCTTTAAACTTCTCCCTTAAAAGCTGGGTTAGAACCTGTGTCATCCAGCGCAGCCAACACAACAGTTCTGATATTAGCCTTTCTCATTGTCACACTGAACACTGTCAAGCAAAACTGTGATGATATGAAAAGACATGTTTAGACGGAGTAAACCACTGGCACGGGGTCATCACACTTCTAGCTCAGGGACTCCATTCTACCATGGAAAACTATTGATATACACAGTTTGAATTATCCTTTCTATAGGCAAAAAAAAAAGAGAAGGTTAACAATAACAGCTCTTCTTTGAATCACACCAGTAACAGCATGTATTTCAGGGAATGGGAAGTCTCCATGTAGGCCACTAACTTCTGTAAATATTTAATCACAATTTTGAAATCCTTTCAGAATTCAGAAGGCAAACTGGAATGAGAAAGTGTGTGAAATCATGAGGGTTTTTTATTCCCCTTTTGAAAATCCAAATCTTGGTTTAATGATAGTAAAACTGTGCAACTTGTAGGGGTGACTGAATTGGCAGGCAAAGACCTGCTTAGTGAAAAAACATGTGAACAGGAGAAAGGGGAGGAGGTCTGTATTTGCTACTTCCATCATCTCTATGCAGAGAGGTACTTACAGCATTTCGTTAGTCGGTTTCCTCATGGTGCTTTCACACTCCTTGGAGAAGTTGTCAAAAATGGAAAACAACAAATTCTGTCTGCAAGAAGGATGAGAAGAAAGTTAATTTGCAGGCTGGATTTTGGCCAAAGCCTTGTCTTCTCTGCAAGTGATCTTCAGAGACACGTAAGGTAAGCAAGCGCTGGCCTCAAGGCAGCACAAATGTTCCTGCAGACATCTGGAAGTGGGAAGGAGAAGACTTCAAATGCTGTGAAAATAGGCAGTGTCAGGAGATGTAAAGTGTGTAAGGATGATCTTTCAGCTTGGTTATTGTGCAAGATTTTTTTTTTTCATAGTGAAATAACTTAAACTTGAATTAAATGGTGTATTTTGAAATATGGTATTGAAGTGGGCCAGATTCTCCACCAGGATGAATGGAAGCAGTTGGAGAAGTGCCTGTTAACAGCTGCTGGGAAACTGGCCTGATACAGAACCCCAGAATGAGTCAGGTTGGAAGGGACCATGGTCCATCTGGTCCAACCTTCCTTTGTCATCCTAGAGCACATTCCAGACAGTTCTGGAATATCCCCAGTGAGCGAGTCTCCACACCCTCTCCATACAACCTGTTCCAGTGCTTGGTTATCTGCACAGAAGGAAGTTCTTCCTCATATTCAGATGGAACTTCCTGTGCATCAGTTCCTGCCAGTTGCCTCTTGTCCTACTGCCCAGCACCACCGAGCAGAGCCTGGTCCATCCCCTTGACACCCTCCCTTTAGACACTGACAGACATTGATAAAGTTCCCTCTCTTTCTCTCTTCTCGGGGCTGAACAGCCCCGGCTCCCTCAGCCTTTCTTCACAAAAGAGATTCTCCAGACCCTTGATCATCTTTGTTGCTCTAGGAGCCCCATGTCTCTCTCATCCTGAGGATCCCAGAACTGGGCACAGCACTCCAGACTGGCCTCCCCAGGGCTGAGCAGAGGGGCAGGATCACCTCCCTGACCTGCTGGCAGTGCAGTTCCTAATGCAGCCCAGGACACCATTGGCCTTCTCGGCCATAAGGACACACTGCTGGCTCGGGGACAGGTCCCCGGGTCCTCCGCAGAGCTGTTTTCCAGCAGCTCAGCCCCAAGCCCATGCTGCTGCATGGGGTGAATCTTCCCCAGGTGACCCTATTTTAAAAGCTGTATGGGATCCAGAGGCAGACTTTGCAAGCTTGAAGTAAAGCAGTTTGAATAGTACAAGTTGAAAGATGATACATTTGGCAAAATCTCTGGTTTTGAACTTTTGAAAGTAGCAGCCTGGTACTCTACCAGTATGAATGGAAATGGCTTTGTCTCACCTCATTGCTGATGCTCTTGATAGGAGAGCAGTCATTTCCTGATTTGCATGGGATTTCCTCCACAGCAATTTATTAAGAAAACAGTCACTTAATATAAGAAAATGACTTACTAAGGCATGTCTGTTTTCATAGACCATGCCCATGCTTCAAAGTCAAGCACCACAAAACAATGGAGTATCAGAAATGTAGTTATCTTTATCAGAATATATACCTTTTTTTATCTGCCAGAGTTGCTCCTGCATTTAATACACTCAGAGATGTGATCTGTGACAGAATCAGTTCATTAGCAATGGAAATGCTTAACAGTAGAATCTTTGTTCAGTTCTTGCAGAATCAAGAACTTAGTAAAATGAGGCAGGCAGAGAAAGCACAGATTAACTCCTAATTTTACCCTAAAGAATTGGAATGTACTCCTGCCTTGAAGTGAAGGCCTGGGGGTGACAATGATCAGGCCTCCCACAACTGCCTGCTCAGTATGTCATTTCTGTGGCCTTCGTTTGAGATGGGTGAGAAACGAGGCACCTCCATGGCTCAAACCAAACCCATTTCGGGTTGCTTTGGCTGCCTGAAGCCAACTGGGGGTTGGTTTCTTTGAAACATAAATGCTGAAAAATGAGCTCCACTTGTCTTTGCTTAACTGGCCCAAGTTTGTGGATGCAAAGCTCTCCCTGTGCCACGGTTTCCAGTTGTGGGGAGAACAATACTGTCGATTACTTGAAATGGTTGGAACTAAATCATGTAACCTCTCTCTGTAGGCTTGTGGCAGGCATTAAATTTTGGTGGGCAACTGAAAGCTTGCCCTTTCTACTGTGTCATCATATCACCTGTATTAAGTAAGCTAAAGGCTACAGGGGTTTCATTTTATTTTTAATTAGGGCAATGTGCTATTGATAATGGTTTGTTTTCTGTATGCCAGTAGGTTTTTAATTGAGATCCCAAGAAAAATGTAAGCTTCAAACAAAATTAGAATAATGTTTCTGCTAGCAGATCCGGGGCACAGTATGGGATCCATTTCTTCTCTAAAATAAATGGACATAATTTTCCTGGTCTTAGCAGAGATTTGCTGTTTCCTGCAAGGCCTTGCAATGCACCACAGCTTCCCTGTAACTGGAATGAAGATAATTAAACCATGTGAGCTGAATAAAGCAGAATTGCCATTTTGGAACTTCTGAAGCACTGCAGTACCGTAATGTGCTATTTGGACTTACCTTTCTGTCCTTAGATTCCGAAAAGCACAGCAGTGGCTGGGATATGTTAGGACAGCTTCCAGAAGACTGCTGAATTTATCCAGTGGTGGCAGCCTCTTTAATGAGTAAGATGAGGTTGCATTTAAGACCTGAATGGCCTCAAGCCCGTAACTAGGCAGGGACTCCAGCGCTGTTGAAGAAATATCCCTGCGAAATAAAGAGAGCATTCACTTTTCTTTTCATCCCTATAAAAATACCACCAAAGCATGACAGTAGGTAACAGCAACTGTTTTTTTCATAAAGATCCAGATCTACAAAGCCGATTCTGCACCTGATGGCCAGCTCAGAGACATGGTCTGTGAAACTACAGAGCAGCAGGGTAAGATTGTCCCTATGGCTCAGCAGCTCCAGCCAGGCAAGGAGCTCCCTTGGTCCTGGGGAAACTGAAACCCACCACTCCAGGGGCTGTGTCCTGACCTTTCCATTTGAAATTCATGCATGGAGTGAGGGAAGCCTCCTTAAGCCAGAGACAGCGAGAGAAGAAGGTGGGCAATAGTGACTCTCCAGCGAGTTAACAGGTAGGACACCCTCCTCGCTCTCTGCTTGGCTCTGAAGGGCTGTTCTAGGTGCTTTAATTAAATGGCTGTTAATTAAAACCCCAAAAGAATCTGTCATTCTTGCCAAGACAAACTTAAGCAGTTTGGCTTACAGTAACTTCTGAGGGGCTGTTTGTGTGAAGAAAGTCCATCAGTGACTAAGGATTTTCAGAGTCAGGACACTAAACAAAGGAAAAAACAGGCCCACAATTCTGAAAATGATGTCAGTAATGCCATGTTCCATAAAGCACCAATAAAAGGCACAAAAAAGGCACGTGCAGCACAAAGTGCTATTTACAGAAGCACACTGTGTTTTATTGCCAGGGCAGCCCTCCAGTCAGTCCTTGATTAATAAATCATGAGGATGATAATAATGAGTTTTATTCAGCATGAGCTTACAGCGTGCAATCAACTGGTTCACTTTTATAAAGAAGTTCTAAACCTATATATTGCCAAAACATGTCCATCCTACCAAAGGACAAGTTAGTTTACAATGTCAGAATATAAGACACAGGATCAGGAGGATCTGACACAAATAAAGCAAAAACCAAAATGTCTAAGAGGTGGAGATCAATGCCAACATTAGAACTGATATGTGCTGTGCAAACTCCTTTCACTCTCTAATTTCATGGCATCTCCTTGACATGTTTCCACTTTGTATACAGAGGGTAAGAGCTCAAATCTCCTTCCAGACTCGAAGCCTGTGTTTGCTGTGGTGACACAGCCCTGGTGGCACAGTGCAGTTCCCACAGGACACTCAGGTCATGGAGCTGTGGCTACTTACAGGACATCTGGCCCTGTGGCCCCTCTCAGGGCATCATTGTGTATCCGCCTGAGGTTCTTGTTGTCCTTCAGGATTCTGTGGAACCAAAAATGAACTCTCTTTACATCTGTGTTTTAAAAATAATTTTTTTGGTTTCTTCTTCACATCTGTTTAAATTCTTTCTCCCACCACAGCAGTGATTGTTGCACTGCCTGGCTGGGGAGTGCTTGTATTTCCCATGTGACCTTTACTTCCTCTGATGCCATCAGATCATTATCATCTACAATTAAATGTGATAAATTCCAAATTCTTCTGACTTAAACCAGGAACAACCAGTCTGGTTCTTTCACTACAGTAGCAAATATACATTTTGCCCAAACCAACACACCAGTCCCCCGGGGTGGGAGAGGGATTAAAAACTATTGATATTTCCAGACATTGATGTTTCCAGCCCATCCTTAGTCTGGGCTACTCTTTCAAGTTCTACACTAATTTATGAAATTTTCTTAAGAATTTATGAGCTTTTTTCACAAAAGCTGTACTATTTTAAGGGATGCTGTTTCAGGAAGAGCAGTGAGAGCTGCAGGATTAACAATTGAGTCACAATGACACTGAAAGCTGCAGTTTTCTCATGGGTATTGGGAAACAGAGGACACAACCGGTTAAAGTGAAGGAAGAGCCTCTGACTATTTAAATTCTTATTTGCTGTGTAAATTACTGAGGAGGGATAGCATACTCACAATTGATTCAGCTTTGTCCCATTGAAGGCATGGCTGTGGATATCTTCAAATCCATTTTTATACAACTTGCTGGAGATTAAATAAACATCAGGGAAAAAGATATGGAAAAGGTGAGGTTGTGTTTTGTACTACAAGTTTCAAACCTCGGTGCTGCATTCATTTTAATGATTAGAGGCTCTGCTTATAGAAAGAATGAAGGTAACTGTAGCTTTTAAATTAAGAAAGGTGCAGTTTAAGTTCTCAAAGCTCCTTCCTGTTTAGCTGCTGAAGAGAAATTCTGCTGAGGTACAAATCCTCCCCCTGCTGAGGGGCTCGCCTTTGCCTGCCTGGGGCTGAGATCCAGAAACAAGACATTAGTCCAGCTAAGCTCCTGGCACACAGACAACAGCCTGGAGGCAGGAGACCTGGATTTTGTGGTGTCAGCAGGTGCAGATGGAAGACTGCACGGCTTAGAGAGGTGTCAGGTGGAAAGCAACTGTAAAGCCTGGAGGGAGCTGCTGGATTGCACATCCTCTATGGATGGACAAATCTTCCAAGGGACAGCTTTGCAGAGAGGCAGAGGTGAGTTGTGTATCACCCAGCAGGCAGTGAGTTACCAGCTTCTCCAAGGTGCTGCTGCCAGGCTTGATTTGTGCTGTGGGAGCCTTGCTGTTCCTTTCACTGCAAAGGGACACTGGATGCCACCCTGCTTGATTCCCCACACTGGGGCCAGAGTTCTGCCACACCTCAGGCCCAGCTCTTTTCCTTCAGTAGGAAATGTAACCTATGGGTCTATTAATATCTATTTGGGATATTAAGTTCATGTATTCAATAGAAATTCAATATAGTCACTTGTATTTATTACTTTTTCTTTAATATTAAGCCCTATTAGAAAACGTGGAACTGTTTATGAATTAAACAACATTTTTGTTGCTTTTTTCACTTGCTTCTGGGATAGCACAAACTGGCCCTATGAAACCTGCTCCCAAGTGCTCAAGTGTGGAGAGCACCTGACTCCACTTGATAGATGATATCTACCTCAGCACAACGCTGAAATTAAGTGATAGCCTTAAATACCATGACAATGTGTAGGATCCATTTCCCAATCCACAAGAAACATTAACTGCTGGAAAGGCTAAATTAGCTATTTGCAGTGCAAAGTGTGACTGCAGGGTGACTTTACACCTCCACAGATTACTTGTATTTCACCAGACCATGCTGTAAGCAGGAGGAATTACTCCACCTAATTACAGCTAACAACATGGGGTGGGGTTAACATGTAGCTCTACAATTAGGAAGCTGCTGATAAGATAGTTCTTTTCTTCTTGTGGTGAGCTTCCAATCACAAAAGGATGGGAGAAAAATGACTGTTGGCTGTTTCCTGACTTAGACTCCCTACCATTTAATACATTTTAGGGTTACAGTAAAGACTTTAAGCACCTTTCTGCATCTCTTTTATGTTCATTTTCTTGCACCGTTAGCAGAATAATAATTTTTCTGAAGTTATTTTGAGAACTTGCTGGGAGGAAAGAGGCTCATAAGATGAAATGATGCACTAATCCAAGCAATTGCTCCTCTTTAGCATCGTGTAGGAGTAGCATTCAGTCACATTTATGCCCAGTTCCTCTCTCATTTCCAGAAGGTATTGGTCAATATATAAAATCTGGGTTAAAATTACTGTCATGCTGGCACATCAGCCTGATGAAGAGCCGATCAGCTGCAGTTCTCGCTCATGTGCACAGCTCGTTTGCAGGTACAAATACCCATGGAGTTTTGGGCAGGGTTCCCATTGGATGTGAACTGGAGCTGGCCCCCAAGGGCTAGGCTTGTGGCTACCATGCCAAGTGGGTGTCTGCTGCTGCTGCTCTCTGTGGCTCAGAGGGTCCTTCCTTGGGAAAACCCAAATTTCGGCTAAGAGGCTCAGCTTGTGATTTCTCCTCTTCCAGCACTACTTTGTGGAAGTTTTCCTGAAGCTAAGTGAGCTGTGAAATTCATACTGAGTTCTTGCTGTGCTGGCAGAGGACATTACACCTTGGCTTTCTGCTGCTTTCTGCATTCCTCAGGTGGGGCATCTCATAGCATCAAACCCACCCATCTCACAGGGGGCTGAAGCAATGAACCCACTGCTGGCTAAAAGGGAAGTCTTGTGTGTGGAGACTTACGGGGATCTTATAGGAAAGCAAGCTGAGGCAAAAGAAATCAGGGTGAGAAGCAACATCTGTAGTTTGTACCAATTTATTCTGTCTCCATCCCTCCTCTTCAGAGGGACCCTGTGCAGCTGAAGCTCAGCTCCCTCAGACTGCTTGGTCCCTGAAAGCACAGTTTCAAGAAACCACATCCTTGAGGTAAGAACAGAGACTTGGCTTCCAGTGCAGTTTTTGTAGTTTATATCCTGCTGATGGTATTTTTAAAAACAACATCGCATGGAAGATGAAGATTTAGATCCCTGGTCCTATTTTCTTTCCTAAATGAAACTCTGCTCTTCATCTTGAAGAACATCCCTGAGTTTCTTAGGCATTTAAAATTCAACACACAATACATATTTATTTTTTATAGGGCTTAATGTCAAGATTTTCATGAAGTCAGCCCACTTTCCTCAAGCAGAAGTGTTATCCTCACAGAAGGAACTGGAGCTAGGATTATTTTACTCACAGTGTCAGTGATTCATTGTTCATCCCTTGGAAAGCATTTTGTGGTATAATTGTCATACGCAAGTTATCACAGAGCTCCCTTTGGAAGGAAAGAAAAAAGGTGTTTTTGTCAGTGTCTCAGGAACGAGATGGAAAACACAGCTGGGTTAGCATGGGTCTCTACTTACAAAATAAAATGAGCTTCCATTGAGAAGATCTGTGTCAGGTCTGGAAATTGTCTTATTCCAGTGTTACAAATGCTCCTAGAGAAAAGCATAATTCCTTTTTATAGAAGAAAATATTACCAGAGTGGATGCAATGAGAAGCCAACTTGGTAGGTGTAAGCTTAACAGTGCATTAAAAAGGGACTGACAAATCTGATTTTTAAAGTAGGCTCCAAAGGTATTTGTAAGGCCTGTAAAAATCAAGTTTTCGGAATTCTCAAGCAGTGTCCTAGAGGAGCAGCATATGTTCTCACTACATTAAACATGAGGGAGAGATTTTAGTTACATCTTTTGTTTAGTACTCTGTTAGTCTGCAAGCTTTATTCTAGAAATAAGCACTTATCAGAAGTACTTTGCAGACTTCTGTTTTGTCCATCACTGCCCTGCCCTTGTACACTGAAAGACCTCACTATTGGCTAACTCCAAGTTAAAGCTGTTGTAAACAATGTACGTACTTCTAGGATACTCTAATGCATGAAAAACCTTTTTTCCTTACACTCCTTAATTTGATTTGTCTACTCCTTTGTAGAAAAGAATAAATAGAGCAAACAGAAAAGGAATAGAGCTCTTTCTTACAAGTATTTTAGCCTTGGAAGATTTCTGAACGCTCCGTCCTCAATATGCAACAGATTTTTCGTGTTCAGGATTAATCTGCAGCGAGGGAAAAATATTTCAGTATTACAATCAGTATAGATTTGGGAGGGCCCTGAGTTTTGCCTGCAATTTACATTCTCAGAAAACAGCCTGCAAATGTGCTGCTGGGTGCATTTTGCGGTGCTGTTGGTAATAAAAATAGCCTGCAATTTTTTTAGGCAGCCAACAAAAGATATCACTGCCTGAATTCTCATGGTTCTCTGAGCTGGTCTGGGTTGGATGTCCTGGTCACTGTGGGAGTTAGCATTTTGGGCTTGGACATGGGGCCAAGCCTGGACCTGAGGCTGCGTGTGTGCCTGGTCCTTGCTCCACCATTGGATCCCTTCAATCATCCCTCGTTTCCATTACATTACTGATGCTCTTGCTAGCCAGGAAAGGCAGTTCCTCAGATAGTTTAACCTCTTAGGAGCTCCATGGACTTCCTTGGAGCAGTGGTTGGTAGAAGCAGATCAGCAGAAACTGGGAGAGGAATATGTGAGAAGTTCTCTTTGCTAGTGGTCAGTCAAAAACCAGGCAGATCTCTTAACCAAGGAGCACTTCCTGCAGCTGAACTATCTGGAACAGCTCTGCTTGTCCTAAAGCTCAATAACTGAAGCCCAGCTCCCTTCCAGCCCATGACTTACAAAATAGAAAGGTTTTAGCATGTGAAATGGTAAGAAGTTGAAATTCAAGGATGCCACTACCTTGAAATTCAAGGATACTCACTACCTTGATCATCCATTGAACGTGGACTTGAGTGCAGCTTAGGACATCAAACACGCAGTGTGAGTCCTGCACAGCTCTCAAGATTCAAGGAGGTCTTTTTGCCAGCTTCCTATAGCTCTTTAATGGCCTTGCTTAGCTTTTGGGAAGGGAAGTTTTTGGGATTTGGAAGACAGGCCTAAGACAAGGTATCGATAAACTATAGGTGAATGCATGGGGTTAAATCTTTCATTCCTTCCTAAGCACACCACTGATTCTAGTGGAAGCTGGACTCAGTCAGAGGTTGACTAATCTGTATCCTTTGCTTATGTGAGTGACTGGCTTCAGTAATGTTCACATGTGAAAGAAAAAAGAGCTAAATTTGTCCTCAGTTGCACAATTTTCAGCCACTCACTGGTCATGCTGTGCGAAAAACGCAGTAATGAGATATTGAATCAGATTTAGAGTTTCCAATTTCACTAAATATTTCGGAGCATTCTCCCAGTCGTTGCTTTTAACTCTCTCTCTCAGATGCCTGTGCTATGGAGGTCAAGTTTAAAATCAGTGCATGTTCTGTTTGAGTAATATTTTAGTGCTCCACAGAAGAGCTATGCATACTAAGCAGCTGTATTTAAATGATGTAGGGCTTTGAAAGCGGCATCTTCAAAAAGAAAGATTTTTCTCATCTGTTGTCGTCTCAAATTATTTCCCCACTTAGAAAACCTGACAGTGCCAGAGCTCCCTTCCTGCCACTGAGCTCACTGAAAGCAGTGGGACTCCGTGCAGGGATGTCTCTGCATGAGCTAGATCTCCACGGCCAGGCCTTACAGAGTGCTGCTCACTGTTTTATACAGTACTCTGGAGAGAAATGTTTCTCATCACAGATCTCAGTCAAAGCCAATCAAAGTAACAGAGACAGATTTGGTCCAGGAATACTTCTCTGCAGCCTGTTTACCCCTCGGTGATCCGAAACCACAGCATGGATGCCTTTTTTTAACTGGTGCTCACATTTCAGACAAGGAGGGAAGGCTGTCAAAGGCACTCGCTTCTATTCTCTCCAGGGAGTCACTCTGAGAGATTTCACTACAATGAAAACAGCAGACACAAAGCAACACATTACCAGAAAAGACCCCAGAAATTGGCTTTCCACTTTGTATTTCCTTCTTTATGCACACTTGTTCAACCCCTCCTATCAGTCTTGTCCATGTCTCGCCTCAGACATCCTGGCAGGTGGTCCCAGAGGGGCTTGAGAGAGGACCAGCCTTTTTCTGTCTTGGCAAAAGGAAAAGCCAACCCTTAGGAATAAATGCCACTGTAAGAGCCAATTTCCATTTCCTCAGTAAATTGCAGGTAAGCTAGAGACTGAGGGCCAGAACTAATGTAAGCAGAGTGAGCCCAAGCCTCATGAGCTTTTTCCTCCCTCCCATCGTTGGTTCTCGTTTAGTGAATTTATTTGTGGGGTGAGGATGTGGATAATGTTCATGGTGCTTCATATGTTATTATCAAGCCAGAACTATGGTCCTCTCATTCACAGATGTAGAAATATACAGATATGGATTCAGCACACTTCATGAGCAATGTTTGGATTTAAATGCCATTTTGATTACATGTATGAAAACTGAAAGGCAGTGTCTCTTTTCATCCTGTATTTGGTGGCACTCTTGGATTGTGATGTACAGATGCTCCTATTCCACATGTGTACTCAAGATTAATCAATACTGACATAGAAAAACAAAACCAATTTATTAGATGCTTGTTAAATGCTAGTAAGATCTAAGAGGCTATGCAAAACTGAGTCCTGAAAGTAATTAGTATACACTGATGCATATATAAGGGAAAGATCTTCAAAATTTCTCAACAGAATTGGCTAGAAGGGCACGCAAAGCAAACCTAAGATTATACACTCTCAAGAAAAAATATTTTCCAAACAACTGGAATGTATTTACACCATCAGAGTCACTATTGTCACATCCTGAGTGTTAGCTTAATTCAATTGCAATTATGAGAAGACAACTCTATTTGTGATACAAAATCCCTTAGACCAGAATAAATTCTGTATTTCATTTGTAGTGGCAAAGGGGGATGCACACTAGAAATCACACTAGTTTTGTGTGTGTGTTAAAAAATTACCAAGGATTCTTTTCATCATCATAATTCAGTGAGAATGTTATTTTTGGTATTGCATTGGTTACTTATAAATGAAAGATGGATGTAGAATAAGTGGCCTGCTGGGCACCTAATCCTCAGAGATTCACAGGCTGGGAGGGATCAGTGCCCACTCACAGAACTTTTTTGGGATCTGAAACATGGTTCTTCTATGGGATCCTCCCTGTCAGCCACAGTTTTTCTATTTACATGTGTTGCAATGACTTATGGCACGAGAGTAATTTATCCAGAGAGTGATGTGTTGCCAAATAGCTTATTCAGAGATTTATAATTAAAAAATATGCATTTTTAAGCTGCACTAAATAGCAATAAAATGATGGAGTGTTTTACAAACTAACTTCAGAAAAATACATTGATTCCCACACAGTAAATTTGGAGAGATTCATTAAAAGCACACAAAAAGATCAATTAAATTCCTGTTATGGAAGGGATGATGTCCAAGAACAAAGCATTCTTTATGAAGAATGTGACATGTGTACAGTTTGAGAAAGTGTAGTCTCAAGTCATACAGGTAGGAGGAATTTTGTAGATTTAAGTTGGTCTCCAGTGTGAAAATGATTTAAGTTCTCATTAAACATTCAGATGCAAGTGGATGCAAGAAAACAGCACCACTGGATTCTGCTTTAATACTGTATTGCTGTTGGATATGTGCAGCAGAGAAGGACAAATAGAGCACCTTGAAAAAACAGCATCTTCTGTGCTGCTGCTTAAGTTCTGGGGGAGGTCATTCCCCTGCTCTTCACTGCATTGCTGTGTCATCAACTTTGTCCTTTAAAGGCCACTCAATGCAGACAAAATAAAAAATAAAAAATAAAAGGAGACTCAAGCATGCCATTTCAGCTGGAATAACAGCAGAAATGAGGGCAAGAGGGGTGAGAAGAGCCTTATGGTCTGAATCCTTGATGGAAAATAGATACAATGCTGAGGGTCAAGAAGCAGTGCAGACCCGGTGAGCAAAATTACAGCACTTGCAAACTGAAAGATCAAAGAAAGGGCTCAATCCTACTGATGCCCTGCCGAGCTTATCTCTCACTGCAAAATGCTGAAAAAATGCCTTATTTGGGTCTTCTATAAATGCATAATGTGCCATGGCTGTCATTGCAGAGGTAATGTTTGATGACAGAAATCTATCTCCTCTGCTAATCAAATGCTCCTCTCATCAGTTACTAAGCTGTATCCAGTTCTCTCTGACATGATTAATATTTCATTATTTGATCTCTAAACAGCTGTTAAAAATCACACATTTTCAAAGGAATTTTGTATACTGTTTACATGAAAAGGAATGCTATGTTTATCCTTCCCCTGTGGTTTTATTTCATCAATAGAGTGTATTAGCGTTTTTCCATTATTATAAAAGGATGATTTTTAAAAGAAATTAAGGAAAAGCCTATGGAAAATATTGACAACTTACATGATGAAGGCATCTTGAAGTCCTTCAAATGCATGTGATGGGATTACTTTTACAGGGAGATGAGTAAATGATCTGAAAAAAAAAAGAAGAGAGGGAGGAAAGGGTTGTAAGGCATGGGGTTTCCTTGTTTATAATTGTACCATTATGTTGGGGAGAAAACCAGTAAATCATAATACCACCTTATTTTCCCACAGTTCTCTGTACCTCTGGCGCCTGATCCATTTGGCATTGATCTCAGTTAAATGGAATTCAACAGATATTGGGTCAGTTCCTCAACAGCATAAATCTGAGACCATCAAATCAATAATAATCATAACCTATTAAGTAAATTTATAGCCTGATGAAAGTAGGCTGCTTCTTTCACAGTTAAAGGAAGCTATTACTCTTTAAAACTATTTAAAGAAGTGAAGAAGCCACTCAGAAGTGGCTTTCACATAAAGCTTTCTCTATTCAAACAGTATCTTTGTGTTGGCTGCACCATGTCCTCCTCCCAGCAATACCTCTGTAATGTTGCAGTGTGGCGTCATGAATGCGGCTGTGCACAAAGTGTAGAAGAACTTCAAATCAGGCTGGTATAATGGAATTCTTTTTCCTAAATAAAATGCATCAGTGTGGTCAGGTGATTTAAAGCAAGTGTGGATTTTAATTTTTTAGTTTCTCTAATTGAGAAATTAACAATGATGTGGGAGAGAGAGCCACATTTTACCATTCTCCACATCTGAGCCACAGTACTTTTACCAGCCAATTTATCTATCCATGACCACACTCTCTCTGATAACAGCCATAGGAAAATATTTAACATATTTCAAAATGTTATCTCTGTGAAAAGAGATAATTGCTCTGTTTTGCTTCAGAATCACAAATATCTAGTCAGAGACATTTGTTTCCCATCCTTAAACTCACCCCCTCAAGGCTTTTTGACTGAAATGTTTTTGTGCTATTCATATAACCTGCTTTTTTTCATTGTTATCATAGTCCTTTATATGAAGAAATATGTTTATTATTATCAATATTTATGTTAAATGTTCATCAAGCATTTTATGTAAATATTTAGATATTTTTAATATATTTAAACACATGGCATTCCTACACATTAGAAAGGCAGGCTGTCTAGCATACTGTGTCTGGGGGTTACAAAAATCTGGATGTAGCAAGGAGCCTGGAAGTCACTTCCTAGCTATGTTCCAAAAAGTCTGTATGATTTGGGGCAAATAATTTAGTTCCCTTGGACCTTGTCTCCCTTCAGTAGACTGGGAATAACAATGCTTCCCTACCTAACAAGGATATATATGTTTGTCATTCCATTGTGATTGGGTCATACCTGTCTCTAGATTGATGCTGGCATGTTTTGCTGTGCGTGAGGTTTGGCTAAATCAGGAATGAAACTAAGTCATGCAGCTTGAAGAATGTATTTTTCCCTGAAGGGTAGAGACAGGTAGAAGTAATCTGCTGTGGGTTTTAACACTCTGAGCCAAAAGGAAAATAACTTCAGGAAGAAGCAAAAAGTAGAAGCTGAGAAATTCCTGCTCTATAAATCTGTAACTGCACCATCAGCTCAGGAACAAAGGAAATGGAAATGTGACTGAAGGTGCAAAAAATAAACTCAAATCTTGGCATTCAGTTACATCAGGCCATGAGCCTACTACCTCCCTGTGACATGCTGGTGCGTGAGCAGCGTGCTGGTTGTAATGGTGATGGCTTGGAGTGACAGGTGATCATCTTCAAGGTCCTTTCCAACACAAACCATTCTATGATTCTACGAATATTTACTGAACGACCCCAGCTGTCTCAGCCTTGTCTCTTTAGGAGAGGTGCTCCAGCCCACTGAGCATTTTCGTGGCCTCCTCTGGGCTCGTTCCAGTGGGTCCACATCCTTCCTGTGCTGGAAGCCCTCGAGCTGGGTGCAGCTTTCCAGGAGGGTTCTCACAAGAGCATAGTGAAGGGGAGAATCCCCTCCCTCGCCCTGCTGGCCGTGCTGCTTTGGATGCAGCCCAGAATACCACTGGCTTTCTGGGCTGCCAGCACACATTGCTGGCTCATGTCCAACCTCTCCTCCACCAGCACCCAAGTCCCTGCCAGGGCTGCTCTAGATCCATTCCCTGCCCGGCCTGTGTTTGTGCTTGGGATTGCCCTGGCCCACATGCAGGACCTTGCACTTGGCCTTGCTGAACTCCATGAGGTTTGCACAGTCTCAAGGCCTCGAGCCTCTCCCACCTCTCAAGGTCCCTTCTCTCCACCGTGCCAATCCCACCACACAGCTCAGGGCCATCCCCAAACCTGCTGAGAATGAGCTCTGTCCCACCAACCACGTTGCCAACAAAGATGTAAATCAGAGCTGGTCCCCGTATGAGCCCTGAGGAGTGTCACTTGTCCTGCTCTCCACTCAGACATTGAGCCATTGACTAGCAATGAGTGCAACCACCCAGCCAACTCCTTATCCAGCAAGTGGCCCACACATCAAACCCATCTCTCTCCAATTTTAACAAAAGGATGTCATGCAGGCCAGTGTCAAGTGCTCTGCACAGTCCAGATAGATGATATCAGTGGCTTATTATCATCCACCTCTGCTGTAACCTCATCCTGGAAGGCCACCCAATTTGTCAGCATAAGATTTGCCCTTAGTGAAGCCACATCGGCTGTCACAAATCACTTCCTTAGCTTCCATGCGCCTTTGCATTTCTTGCAGGAGGGTCTTCTCCAGGATCCTGCCAGGCATGAAGATGAGACTGAGTGGCATGTATTTCTTTGGGTATTCCTTATTTTCCTCTGTAAAAATGGGGGTTATGCTTCCCCTTTTCTTAATTCCATCAGGGTGTCAGCTTTCCTAACCTGATCCCGTCTGCTTAATTTTTCTGTGTTTCTCCCAGGCTACCTGTACCTGCTTCCACCTTCTTCCCTTCCTTTTGTGTTTGAGTTTGTCCAGGAGTTCCTTGTTCATCCATGCAGGCCTCCTGGTGATTTGCCTGACTTCCTCTTTCTTGGGATGTATCACTCCTGAGCTTGGAGCTGATCTGGAGCTTTCTTGGGCCCCTTTTCCCTCCAGGGCTTTTCCCCCTGGGACTCTGCCAAGCAGGTGCCTGAAAAGACCAAAGGCTGCTGAAGTCAGGGGTAATGAGCTTGCTGTGTGCCCTCCTCGCTGTCCTGAGGTCCTCAAACTCATTTATGGTCTTGGCAGCCAAGGTTGCCCTTGGGCTTCACATTCCCCACCAGCCTCTCCTTGTTGGTGAGAACAAAGCCCACACTGCACCTCTCCTCCTTGGCTTCTCTATCACTTGGAGACAGAAGTTATCATCAAAGGATTCCAGGAACCTCTTGGACTGCTTATGTCCTGCTGTGGTTGAAGAACCCCCTGAGGACTAGGAGTTGTGAATGTGAGCCTGTTGCTCTCTGTAGATGTCTCATCTGCTCAGTCTTCTTGGTGGGGTGGCCTGTTCAGATTTCTTTCTGACAGCACTCAGATTGTGAAACTCAGATATGGCTATTCAGCTGAGGAAGCTTTTGACAAAAAATGTTTTTACAAAGCTACAAAGCTTCTATACATCTAACTTGCCCACACTGCTGGCCTGACTTCTGTAGCTCATGAAAGGAGGGAGGCACCCATCTTTAACACAAGTTGCCTCCACTGTTTTGAAGACTTTTGTTAAAGGAAAAATATTTGCACTTTTAAGAAAACTTGTAAAGTTTCTTTCATATCTAATGCATCATGACCTCTATGCTTGTACTCATTGCTGTCATTCAGTGCTGACGATGCTGCAGCTCCACAGAATTGCAGGACTACTCATCCTTGGAAAAAGACAGAAAGAAGTGGAGCCAGACTTCTTGGCATTCAGCAGCCCTTGGCATTTCTATCTTATCAAGATTGATTTTCAAGGTGTGTAATTCTAGGCAATAAGGTTTGAAATGGCCAACCTAAATGCATTTAAGGCTATCCAGGAGCATTTGGAAAGACAGGAACTGCCACCACATCGACTGGAGCTCCAAGAAAAGCTTTTGAGAGCTCTGGATGCCCCAAGAGCTCAGAAACACTTGTAGTCCTGCTGAGGAGGAGTCAAAGCCCAAGCCCACTCACACCACTGGAGGAAATTGCTGTATTACAGAAGTGACCTTTTGCAAAAAGTGTTTAGTTGAAGTATAATAATATACTTCGACTTCAATTATATATATATATAAATATAATACAATAATAATAACATAAAAACCACAGGCCCAATAGCAAGAGATGTGAATGAGTTATTGTAGCTGGATTGGTTGCTATATTTTAATATGTCTATTTTATAGGATTACTTGTATTTTTAATGCCCAAAAGGTGAACATATAAGGTAGACTCTTGTTGGCAAGCATTTGAATCTGTAGCATCCTTAAACTTGGGAGGATTAAGTATATTGATGGAAACAATGGCTGAAAAAACACTATTTTCCTAGGATCTTTATCAGCTTCTGGAGGCCAGCGTAAAGGGTTGGCAATGATTTTTAAAGCCTTGTATATTGGGCATTACCTACCTGAAATGTGAACTGTCATATCACACAAGCACCCAAACAGCATTTTTCACTAGGTGATGATGGGTCACATAATCCCCTATGGAAGACACTTTGTCTCTGAAACAGAATTCTTTTGACAATCCCAAAGAGCCAAATATTCCCCCAATGAAGACATGATAGAACTATCTATTTCAGGCTTTTGCCACAAATTTTGTATTTGATATTTTGTAATTTGGAGCCTGATCAAATGTCACTCACCCAACTGCAGAAGCTCTGCACATGGGCACACATTCAGATACAGCAAAGTGAACCTCAGCATGAAATGAAAGTTTTGAAGGGGCAAAAAGATCTTAAGTTATCCAATGCCCATTGCTGCATGGTTGGAGTTGGGTGCCTATACAACTAGACTTTGCTTAAAACACCAAAAGTACATATGAGATTTCAAAAGAAGAAAAATAATGTTTTGTTTCAAAATATAATAGTGTATTAAAGATTATTTTTCCTTCTGAGACTAAGAGGATGTGTAGCTGCTGTAGCCAAAGGGCATTCAAAGGTGTCTGAATAATGGAGGTTCTATAGTGTTTGTGTAATGTCCAAACTAACAACAGGAACTTGAGAAAAAATATGGTCAATTCAGGACAGTATAAACCCCATAATTCTGCAACCTGTCAGAAGCCAAATAATTTTGAAAAAGTTTTTTAGCAATAATGTCACATGGCAAGGATAATCTGGGTAAAGAAAAATGCCTGAAATTTCCCTATGGGATATAAACTACGGATATAGCAAAGTATCAAAAATACATTTGGAAGCACAGATCATTACAGCATCAGATTTTAGTCAGATCTAGGTGGAATTACATATTGGAGCATATTTTCTTGACTGACCATACAATTAAGAAGGACTTTTCTGAGGTCTAGCACAGATGGAAGGATGTGGGCACCCCAGGAACTGTGCTGGAACAACCTAAAGCACCATTTCCCCCCCACATTATTCATGCACTTGCAGCACCACACTGCGATTTTCCTGGTACAGATGTGGCAATGAGGGGACAAAATTAACATTCTTTTGCTTTCCCTCTCATGCACAGAACTGTGCAGGGGAAGAAGAGAGCTAGGAGGAATGGGAGAGTATGGAAAGAGAAGCAGTCAGTACTAACAAAACTCCAAAAACTGTATGAATAAGAGAGAGGGGAAAGAGTAAGACAGAGAGAGGGGAACTGTGCAGGGGAAGAAGAGAGCTAGGAGGACTGGGAGAGTATGGAAAGAGAGGCAGTCAGTACTAACAAAGCTCCAAAAACTCTATGAATAAGAGAGAGGGGAAAGAGTAAGACAGAGAGAGGGGAAGACAACAGCTAAATGGATAAGAATAAACTGGTATGAAAACCAGACGAAGAAATGGAAGAAAAGTAAAAGAGGTTGAATAACAACTAAAAAAAGTGAGAATGCATGTACACCTGTGGGGTTAGCGACTACATTAATTTGTACAGCTTTGTAATTATATGATGAATGCAAGCTTTCTATTAAAAAATACAAAGAGGGAAAATTTTAATAGTATAGGTTCAGGTTCAATATAAATCAGGTTGGAAGCAGAAGGAGCTGGATATGTCTGTGAAAGACAGGGATTTTTTTTAACTTCTAAGTGTAAATATTTCCTCTGTAGGAGTATCGAGCTAAATCTTGGTTGAACTCTTTTCTGACTGCAAAGCTGGTTTCTACAGCCAGCCTAATAGTGAGACTTTGTGTACAATCATCAGGATTAAATGTTATATTGAAGGTAGAAAGGAAATTTTATTTTCTTCTTTTTGTCCATTACCTAGCCCTGTTGCTCTCAGTGAGGCAGAAATGGCAGCAGCCATAAACCCATTATCCCTCCTAACGTGCTCACTGAGGTTGAGATGTGGTTTCTTTTTGGGGTGACAGATGGACCAAGGAGAAATAAAAGATGAACCCAAACCAGAGAAATAAAATCAGGTACATTTAGGGCTCTTGATAACCTCTCTGGGCTGTGATGTGCATCATCCTAATAGACATGCTTAATCCACTGCCTGCTCTGCATGTGCTGTGAATACTGGGGAAGAAACGTGATGGGAGAGTATCCTGCTCCCATGGGCTCTGCCTTCTCAGACACTAAGGTAACACAGGGAAATAGGGAGAGAACAAATCCAGGGCACAGATTTTTCTAGAATCTCTGCCTTTGGAGGAATGGTTCACATGGCTCTAGATTAGTACAAATTAGGTTTTCTTGCTCCTCTCCATTCTTGAGCTAGGGAGTAAGGGAAGAGGAGATCAGGGTTAATATCATCCCTAGAGAATTTCAAGAGTGAGTTAAATTTACAAACAAGTCAGATGAAAATGGAAAACACAGACTTTGTTACCAAAAGGGTCATAATATGAAAACCCCAGCTCAATTCATGCAGAGATAACAAAGTGATCCTGGAAATGGCAACCATCCTATGGGCTGCTCCTCTAATCCCATATTTTGATGCCATGACTGTTTAGATCAGGGCTGTAACTGAGAGAGAGCCCATAAACAAAACAACAGAGCCCATAAACAACACAACACTTGAATAACTATGTATATCAATTATTTGGTCTGGTGTCCTAGACCATGAGCTTTGACTATGGTGTGTGAGTGGGGAAAGGGAATGCCCACGATGCCTTGTTATTTTAATTTAATCCTAATTCCCAGCAAAGCATTAAGCAGAAAGCTATGATGGACCACCCTGCAAAGATCTCAACAGCTGTCAAAACTCACGGCAGCTTTTTTACTAAGAGAGGGGGAAAAGAAAATAGTCATTAACTTGTCAATGAGCTGAACCTCAAGAAGATGCAATGAGGCCAGTGAAGAGGATTTTGATGCTTCAGGATAGAGGGAAAATGAATCACACAAACTTTGGGAGAGGAGGTTAAAGAAGTCCAACAGAGTTGTGAAAGAAAAAAACAAACCTTAGAACTGACAGAACGCTTAAGGTGACTTCTCAAGACTTTATCAGGTCTCTTTAAATCTAACCATGCCACTACAAGGCGATGGTTCTGGAACAGGAAAGGCAGTTTATGCCTCCTGCCACAGCGAGACAGCACAGAAAGCCCTGACACCTGCACCCCGTTGCTCTGTCACTGAGAAAAAGTGGACAAGAAAAAGTCCCGAAAGGACGCGCGTCTTCTCCCCAAGGGGAAAACTCTACGTCCGCGTTTGTTTGAACTTTGAAAGTTCGAAAACTCCAGCCTCACGTCCCGCACCTCCGCGAGGCCAGGGATGCTCCAATCCCGCACGGCGGCGGGTGCAAAGGCACGGCAGTGCCCCCGTCCCGTGCCCCCCAAACCCCGTCCCGGTCCGTGTGCGAGCAGCCCGCGGTACTTACGCGCGGGCGGGCGCGGGCAGCGCGCCGTGCGCTGGCGGCGGGCAGCGCAGCGCTCCGTGCGTGCAGGCGCAGCGCAGCGGGCAGCGCCCGCCCGCGCCCGCAGAGCCCGGCAGCAGCAGCAGCAGCCCCCCCCCCCCCCCCCCGCCCCCTCTCGCTCGCCTCTGCCCGCCCGCAGCCCGCGGGACGCGGCCCCGCGCCCCCGCCTCCTCCGCCCGCCTCCCCCGCCCCGGGGCGGGAGTGCCGCCCGCCGCCGCGGGGATGCCGCGCTCCGGCCCCCGCGGCTTCCCGGGAAACGTCCCTCCACGGCTGCTCTGACTGAGAAAGTTGGCTGCACAGGCTACAGGTGGCTGGCAGAAGGTTTCCATGGACTGTCAGAAGTTCTGGTCCCCGCGGTCCTGCCTAGGCGGGACTACAAGCGATGCTGCCCGCTCCTAGCGGAAAGGTCCCCAGTGCCCCTCTTCCTAGAGGGAAAGCTGTGAGAAGGTGTGGGCCCTGCAAGCACCCATTTATCCGGCTGTGAAGGTCTTTGAGAGTTCGTGCCTGGGGAAAATGTGCCGCATTTCCCTTAACGGGGTAAATTAGTGCATTGTATTTTGGATACAGCAGCCTTGTTGGAGGATGGAAGGGGTCGGGATACAAATGTCCGTGTCAAACGCTCTTTACGGCTCCACGCACGGTCGCTGTATTGCTGGTGAAGAATTATAATTTGCCTACTGGGTGATCGGAGAGGCATCTCTGAGTGCCTGACTCTTTATGATCAATTATACCCTTTGTGTGGAAGCAGCAATCATGTTCTCAGCACTGCTTTTCACAAAGGTTCATCCATTTTGTAAAGGACTGTTGTCCACATAACTGTCATTGCTGTTGTTGTTGTTTATTGTTACAACTGTAGCTTTGAGAATCTGGAAAGAATCTAGTTAGAAGCTACTTAGAAATCAGGACCTTATTTATGGTGAGTGATGGAGCAAGCCACCAAAAAGATAATTGTTCCCCAGAGCAGGCTTTGCAAAATAAGTATAAGGGTATGGGTACATCATCCTATCCCTCTCTTCAAGTGTATCCAGGAAACATCAGAGTCAAGGAGGGAATGACCCAGCACCACATGGGATTCATCTGACAACAATTCTTCCAACTTTAAAATAATGGAATCAAATAATAAGGCCTTATACATTTCAGGAATAAAATGTGAGACAGGAAGGAGGTGTGAGACGTGTGGTTCAGGGCATGCCTGTGTTCTCAGCAGGGACTGAGTAATGGGAAATAGTTAGCAACTGCTAAGAACTTCCCTGGACTGGCCTCAACAGCATGACCTGTGTCCATCTGGACCGGGAACTGGAACCAGATCTTGCACAGAAGGGTAGGATGGCAAAGCCCTGCTTTGCTGTCCCTTTCCAGAGTCCTACCTTCCTCTCAACCTTCTTCCTTCAGTGTCATCTGCTCCACTTGAGCTGATAGTGACATTGGCTTTTATCCTGACCTTGCAATGGTTATGAGGTGGCTCCGTCACTTTATTCCACTATGCTTGGCAGACCCTTTTATCCAACACTACAGCAGGGTTATTCTGATGGATGGTCTACCTAATTCCAGCTAGCATGTGCCTTCGTATTGATCTGTCCTCCTCCTCCCCCCACCTCCCATCATCTTTGAAATCAAAGAAAGTGATGGGGCTGTGAAATCAAGAGATCAACTGAACTGTGCCAGCTGGCAATCGTAGGATAACATTGTGCCCTTGTGAGGACCTGCAATTTCCTTGAGATCTGTCTGCGTGGCACTGCTGACCCTTTCCTGATGCTCAGCTGCCAGTGTTGAACAGAAGCAGGTTTCTGGCTTCCTGCAGCTTGGTTTCCTATGAGAGGAATAATCAGCAAGGAAAAATCTGATTATACTCTTGCATTATTTACATGTGCCCACATACATTGATTTGGGGAGGAGACAGTCAGAGGGCGAGCAAGAAAGTCCCATCTCCAGAATTCTTCTGCCAAGTCACTGGGTCCCAAGGAGGAGCTTGGTTACTGATTGACGTGCACTTGATGTGAAGAAGCAAACTCCCTTCTGCTGGACAGTTTTCCTGTCCACAGAACTGCCTATACTCCCAAAGTCAGGCAAAGTAGTGCATTGTTATAAAAAATACCCAAAACCCAACGAAATGAAAAAGAAAATTTGTTTGACAAGCCATCCTGGAAGAGCATGAGGCAGCAGCATGGCTGAGTGACACCTGCTGTCACGCTTTGCCTGGCAGGTGTCATTCATTGCCCCCATTATCTACAACATTTGATGGTTTACAGGATTTCCCTGATGCTCAGATGCCTTTGAGGATATTTTTAACAAGGGTGTTAGAAAAGTGTGTGGTGTTTGAGGACATGACTACTTTTCCCAGCACAGTCCCTGCCAGGAGAGGTGGCACTGCTCTGCCTGGGAGACAAGGCACTGTGAGTGGCCTCTGTGACCTTCAGGGCTTGCTCTTGGGTTTGATGGTGAATTGTAGGGACAGACTGGCCTCTCTGAGAGGTAACCATTCTGGGCAAGGTGATTTTGTGTGCTGCAGCTCTATGAGAGCTGGTTAGCTCAAGCTGCTTTGGGTATGAGCTGCACTCCAGTCTTTGGCAGCAATGCCAACATAGCACAGGTTGCAGGGGAATTTTTCTGTCCTTACCTTCTCTTTTGCCTTCAGCATTTTGACCTCCAAGTAAAGTACCAGTGGCTGTGAGGTGTTTTGTAACTTAAGGCTCACCAAGGGCTGGGTTTGTGCTGATATCAAGACATATCAGATCTCTGAGCCTTCTCCTGCCCCTTCATCAAGTTTGGCAGAGCACCACAATTAGCTGCATAATTATAAATCTTGTCTTTATAATATATGTGTCGTTATGCTCACGTGTGTAAGAGTATATAGCTTGTGATCAAATGCAAAAGCCATTAAATAATCTGTAATAAACATACTTAATTGCATTCAGCCCACTTTTACCCCTCTGAAAGTGCCCCCTGAAACTGAGAAATGTTACCTATATATATCAAAATATTTTGATGCCAAATTTTTTTAACATACCTAAATTAGAATTGTAAGCAAAAAATCTTTATTTCTGATGGCAAGACACGATCATTAATCATGCTGTGCACATCTGTTCCTGAGTTAATATCTATTCAAGATGAAACAGTAATTATCTGTAGTATAGGCATATATTCATGTAGAGGTGTTTAGGTGTTTAACCTAAACTGACAGATTCAGCAGTTTATACATGAAGGAGCCTTCTACAGCTCTGTAACTGCTACACAACTACTACAAAGAGCTTCACACCTACATTCTTATGTGGCTATATAATCATAATGGATGGCAATATATGTATTTTATAGTTCAAGGAACCATCTTTATTCTGGCAGTACTTAAGTGGGGACTTGAGTTCGATGGGTTGAAAATTCACTGAAGTTACAGGGAATTAAAGACATGCCTGATGTAATTCTTCTGCTCAAGTGCTGGCAGAGGCAGGGATTGCTTTATACATGTTGGAGTGCTCTCCTGAATCCTTGCCTCAAGGCCGCTGTGCAGAAGTGTACGTGAGCCCTTCTGCACAGAGGAATTGCGGGATTGATAACAGCTGCCAGAGCTGCAGCTGTAGGTTGTAGGTTTGCTCTGCACAGGCAAAAAATGCAAACAGGAAAACCCCCCAGTCCTTACTCCTTTGGATCTGCCACTGACCTGAAATGGGGTGTGGATGGAGTTAGGACTGGCAGATCTGGCTTGGAGGAGCTGGTACAAGGTTTCTCACCCTGTCAGCCCACTTTGTTCAAGAGCAGCCCAGAACTTGCAGTCACTGTAGCCCCACTTTAGGCCAGTTATTCTAATTTACTATCTTTCCTTCTCTTTCCCCATTTATTAACCTTAATATGCATTTTTGCAGTTCCTCAGAGAAGTGGTGCCAGTGGAATATTCCTGTGTAGAAAAAATTGCTTCTGAGATACAGAACACAGCTAATTACAGTGCTACGATTAGCTGAATGCCCTTAACAGAGTCCAAGGGGGGAAATCATAGTGCAGCATCTGCTATAACATATGCTTTTCTAGTTTCCAGAAGATAATAGTGAGCATGTGGGCTGCCATGGACTGTGCTTTCTGCCTGAAAAGCAGAGCAGCCTGCAGATGCTCCAGTATTTTTTTCTACCCGGACGCTGTTAGAGATGTCTGATGCTGTGTACATCTGTCAGGAGGAATTAGGGTTTTTTTTCGGCTTTAGTCTCCCACATGCAGACAGACTTATGAAGATGCAATGGTGATTCAGATCCCATCGTTCCTGAGTGCACACTTCATCCTAAGGGCAGGTGTCACACCAAGAGCAGTGCAGAGGTGACAGGCAGCATGGCACATCGCAGGAGCTTGTGCTCACTGCTTTCTGTGTGAGGTTTTTTTCTTTCACAATGGTACTGGAAAGATAAAGTGCTTTTCTGTGTATTGTTTAGTGAACTAAACCTAAAGTGGCTCATTATTTTCTATCCTATAGATTAACTTGGCCAGAATAGTTGATATAGCCCTGCTAATATACCACTCAATGTGCTGAGCTGTGTTAATTACTGTTGAATTAGAGCTGACAATGATTGAGCCAGCTTAGTCAAGTACTGCTTCCCATTTAACACAAACCTTCAGCTCCTTTCCATTACTTGAATTTTTTATCACATTTTTAACATTTCACTGTCCTTTGCTTTAACCTGGCCCAGAGCTACAAAAAGAAACACATTTGTAAAGATGCTGTTAAAAATATGTCATTACAGTCACAAAGCAGCAAGTAGTAAGTAACTTTGGACCACATCCATCCTCCTGAGTACTGATTAATAGGAGAGTTTGTTTACAGAAAGTGGGTCTCTGTTATTTAGCCAATTACTTAATGATCGACTCTTTCTTCCCAGTTTGTCTGGCAGCATTGAGCTACGATTTGTGGGAATTCCTGACCAAAAAGGTATTAAATTTTTAGGAAGGGCTTTGGCCAGGGTATAAAAATCAGTGATTTACCTCCAGTAAAAGCTGGAGAAAGGATGCTGAGAGAGAAAGAAGCCAGTGGCTCGTCTGTAAGCAGCTGGAAAATAATCTGAATCTGGTCAGGTCTGTACAATTGTTACTGTGCCTCAGGACTTCACTGTGTGTGCTTTCAGGGTAATGCCAGAGCTGTCAGTTCTTCATGAATATGATGACAGGATTAGTGCTCGTGTCTTTGTGAATTAGAGGTCTGTGACCACTGTGTGGCTGTTCTGCATCCTGATGTGGAGGCTGTGAGTGCACTGGGGAGTCAACCCCGGGCTCCCAGCAGTGGCACCAGCTCTGCAGGAGACGGTAAATTGGCAGAGTCAGGGGAGTGGGAGTTTTCCCGCTTGGGCCCTAGTAT